GGAGGGCATCTTGTATGATAGTAACTTTCTGGGGGCACCAAACGTGCAAACTTAATAACCAGGTGAGGTCTGGATATCGAACTTGAGTAAATCATTGGGTTGAATTGCTTACCATTAAAGGGCTTTCTTCAGAGAACCAGCCCATACCTGTTATTTGCTTTCCTCCTCTTCTCACACCCCAGTAGATTTCTAGAATTCCTCGTGCATAGTTGTCATCCAGATGCTGCACCTTCATGAGTAAACATTTTGTTGTTTTAAAGTCACAAGGTACCCCTGTGGACAAGGATTAAGCCACACAGTAGTTTTACTTGGGGAGATCACATCCAGGAGGTTTTTCCCCTAGCCTTCTTTTTTTTTTAACTGGGGAAGGAGGAATTTATTTACTTATTCAGCAAACATTTATTCAGTGGTCACATATTTTTTAAATGACTTTATTGAGATATAACTCATGTTACCATGCAGTTCACCCATTTAAAGTGTGCAGTTTAAAGGTTTTTAGTACATTCATGGTTGTGTGCAACCATAACCACAGTCAGTTTTGGAACATTTTCATTACCTCAGAGAGTAACCTCATACCCTTGAGCTCTCACCCCCATATCTCCCCATTCCCTCACCACCCCAGATCTAAGCACCTTCTGATCTATTGTTTGTCTCCGTAGATTTACCTGTTTGGGACATTTTATAAGAATGGAATCATAATATGTGGTCCTTTGCAACTGACTTCTTTTACTTAGCTTTCTATTTTCAAGGTTCATCCATGTTGTAGTATGTATCACTACTTCACTCCTTCTTCCTTCTGGCTTGCCATAGCTCTGTCTTAACATCCCTAAGGTTAGATCCTTTCCCTGATGCAGATACAAGTATCAGTGCAGTGAGGAAAGGAGTTGGTTTAGTCTATTTGGAGAGGAAGGAAAGTCAAAGTTAATTGATAATTCTGATATATAAATCAGTAGTGAGAATTTTTTTTGATTGCAGGTCTCTATCAGCTAAAAAATTTGACCATTTTATAATTATTTATGGATTAAGTACCCAAATTACATAATTATCTGCTAACTCAGATTACCGTAGACACTTAGGACGATGTTTATGGTCATTGATGGAAGCTGCAAATCCTTATATCAAATAAAATTGATAATTTCTCATTATTTTGGTCAGCTTCTTATTAGATCTTAAAGATTTAGCTCTAATGCAAGCTCTTAAAGAGTTGATATTAGAACAGTTGATAACTGTTCGCTTTGCCATTTTCTTGATGTTTGCTTGTGCTTGCATTATTAGCATTATTTTCAATCCACTTGGCACTCTTGCCTATCTGACCTATAGTGATAATCTGTATATTAAATATTTTTATAAGCCTAAACTTTTTAATATAAAAACATATATTGACATTGTAGTGTTTTCTTCCTATACCCCAATGGATAATGCTGTGTTCTCTTTGCATAGTACATTAGAACTCCACTGCTGGAGATGGATGGGGAAAGTAAATTGGAACTACATTCTTATTTGTTCCAATAAAATATTTCTGACAATTTGGCTGCTGTGTGTTTCATGTGAAGGTTTTTATGAGACCAGTAGATGATGCAGCACTATGAAAATACTTCTCTTTTTGTCTGGTTGTGTCAGTTCTTTGCTGTGTAGGTTACTTACAGACTGCTCAGAATCACCTGGCTTTGCTGCACACCCAGCTCTGGGCTGAGGCTGCGTGTGACCCTTGTGTGGCCCAGCTAAATTACATCATTTGAGGTTGTGCTTCACGCTGACCTTGTGTTGTCTCCTGCTTACCCTTCTTGTGGCCCTGCCCTCCAGCAGCTGTGTGGGAATTCTGCTGCCTTCCTTTCCCTAGATTAGATGTCTGTGCTAGGGTGTTTGCTATTTTAAACCAAAAATACACTGTGTGTGCATGTGATGAAACCACTTGGAAAGAGAGCCCTGTGCTGAGACTGTTCTCAGGCCTGACAAGCAGGTTGAAAATTGGGCACTGTCCAAATCTTGACATTCTTGTGGATCTTGATGGCAGAACTCTTTGCTAGTCCCCAGAGAGATCTGCCCAATAAGAAGCTGGTCATTTGCCTTGGAGAAGACAGAAGGGCAGTTGGAAACATCTCTTAGTATAAGACTGTTTCTTCAGCACAAGTTTGTGGCCAGCTTTGTTTTTTGCTGAAGAAATATCCGAAGGAAATGGGCTTAAATTGTTGAATGAATTTAGGTTGGAAGAATTATTTTAGAGGGAGGGATTAATAAATATTGGAGTGGTTTATCAAAGGAAAGCATGGAATCTGATTATTTAAGGTTTGAAGAATAAATGTTTATTTGTATGAAGCGATTTAAATACCTCACCTGGAGGGATCCCAGCCCTTGGGCTGTGCCTGTTGGTCCTGTTTCTTACCCAGCTCCCCCCATCCGCCCAAGTCCTCACCTCTGAGGCAGGTTTATTTTCTTTTCAGTAAGCAGCATATAAACCCTCCAGGTCCTCTAAGAGATTATATTCCTTCCTGAAGGGAAAAATAAATAGGCCAGCATATAGATTATGCTATATAACGAGTCTCCTGTGTATTATTATAGCGTTGTCACCGCAATTCTCAATTATGGCAATTTTTGCTGAGGGGTAGTCTTAGGACTATGTGGGGCCCAGGGCTAGTGAGGCTGCTGAGACTCCATGTGCTTTCCATGCATCTCTGCTTCGCCGTGGTGTCTGTCTGAAGGTTGGTGGCTGAGCACACGGTGCTGCTGTATCATTTCATATGCAGTTCAAGTGACTAAAATTCTAAATTCAGGCTTTTCTGAGGAGTCTTGAAGAATATTGGACTCACTGGAAAGAACTGAGCAAAAGTGGAAGACTCGTTTGTGAGCTGCGGGCCTGGGTTCAGCTAAGCGACTTGCTTAGGTGTGAATGAGAAGCCTGGGATGCTTCCAGTGGTTATTTTGCTTGTTACTTTGCTGGAGAAGGCTAATGATAGAATCATAAAAGAAAGGGTTTCTGCCTGATAAACTGAAATTAGATTGGGGCCTTGGGATATGGAAAATGTGATAAGCTTATTAGGAATGCAACCTAGAGAAAAATATTTAATAACTGGAACTTATTTCTGGCGTTTTCTGAAAATGGTAAAATGAAGGAAAGACAGCTTTTTTCTAAAAGAAAAAAATCTAGACTTTGAAATGTTGTTATTCACATTTTCTTGCTGAATTTTGCTGTTGCAATTCTAAATTCATGTAGTTTGTACCCCTTCCTTCGAAAACAAAAAATGCATCCTAAATAAAACAGGCATTGGAACTGTAATGCAGTAAACTGAGGTAGGCAAGCTGTTAAGAGTTTTCCAGGTCAGCACAGTTTCAGACAAATTTTTCAGAGAAAATTTACAGTTTGGTACCTTACAACCAGGCCTGTTGATTCAAAATCCTATCGAACAGACAAAGGCAGCTTTTGTTCACCAATTACTGGTGTTTCAGAACTAAGAGATTTTGTACAAAATGAAGGGAGGCAGTTCTTTCAGAGTCATTTCTTCGATGTCAGTGAATTTCAGAACTTCATAGACTAGGACAAGTAAAAAAACTAATAGTTCATTGACTAATATTTACTTAAGCAATATTATATCTTTGTGAAAAGGGGCTTTAATAAATGTGATGCATTCAATTTTGTAAATTCTTTAAAAATTCTTCTGCTTTCCCAGTCTTTTCATCTTAAAGCCTTGTCATTTATTAATTTGGAGTCTCTATATAGAGCTACATATATTAATTGGGGCAGACATTTGCAAAAATAGCAATTTAAGTATTGGAATTGAAATATCAGAGGGTTTTCTGATAGCTAGGGAGTGCAGATTACTTGGCATACATAGCACTATATATAACCCTAGAGATGCAGTATAATGATATATAGTTGACCTGCTTGTTTTCTGTGATTTTAAATGCAATATTGGATATATTTACACAATATGCTTAATAAAAACAACCAAAATGTCTTTTTTTTTTTTTAGAAATCAGAAATATCTTCACTCTTATTTGCTATTTTAAGAAGAGTAGTATATTGGCATTGATATATTTAGGTTATTGTTTCCTTAAGAATTTTTCTGCCTTGTTTGGTGACTTCAGGTTTTGATTCAGATTATCATGGCAGACTGAGTTGTGCCTGTGTGTCTGGAGCTGGAATTGAAAACCTCTTTTGGCTTTTCTATTCTCTCCTCTCTTATTAATAAGGAATTACGCATTTACAATTTCCCAAATAACTTGTGATTTATCACGAATGCAAATTTTACTCTGCTTAATTGACTGAAAGGGTGCCAGGGAGGGGGAGGGGCAGTTCCTGAGAAGCAGCTCCAGTGGTTCACCTTGCATCAGGTGTCTGCAGAGTCTTCAGACTGAAAGCATGTTAGAGTCCCTTTCCCAATTGGAATCACTTACCCCATCATTTTCGTTTTACCCTTTAGGCTTGAAAAAGTGTGTATTTAACCATCAGTTCATTTTGTGTGGTCTGAGTTATAAAAATGCCCCTGCTGGTTTTTCCATATGAAAGACATGTTTTTCATTTGTGGAAACTTATATAATTTTTTTTTTTTTTTTGCTGGCTTTCTTTTGTGCTGCTTTAAATTAAAAGCAAATGTACTTCCCTCCCCTTCATTCCTGCTTCCCCACCCCCATCTTTGCATGTTCCAATTACAGAGTTGTGAAAATAAGTCATCTTTCGGCTTTTGTTACTTTAAAACAGCTATCGGTGATGTCAGAGTCAATACTAAAAGCATTAAGAATGCTGGCAGAATGTAATGCAGCTGCAATCCAACATGATGCTGGAAATGGGGTTGAGAGCATAAAGGCTTTCCATATTCCCAGGGCGCACAACTGCTTGCGGCCTTGGCTTTGATCTCTTCAAAGGCTGCTGCCTCCTCCTAGATGGAGAGACTTGGCTGCCACTCGCCTGCGTTGAAAAAAGGCAGAGGTCTCTATTCAGGCAGAAATCAATCACTGTGCAGAAACAATTATGTGTAATTCAACCATCATGAAAACAGGACGAGATGACGGGTTTGTTACCTGAGTGACTGTGTGGAGACGGGGGAGCAGAGAACACTGGAGTCCTGCTGACCTGCCACATCTCGATGACAATTCTAGACATATGAATGATGTGGCAGGCGGGGGAGGCGTGATGACAAATGCTGGTCACGCTGTCCAGCAGAGCAGAAAATGAGGTTACAATTGGGAGATAATGTTTGCATATGTAACCATATTTCAGCAAGCTGAACAACTTCAGGGAACAGACCCTCAGAAACTCTTGTGGGTATTTGTATCTATGTATACTAGCATTTGAATTTGATATTAGCTGAATTAAGGCAAAACTAATCCTAGTAACTTGAGAATTGTATGGAAGAGAGAAAGAAAGTGAACTTTGGGTTAGTACATTTGCTAATTTGGAGTATATCCTCCTGACACCAAACTGAAAACACCACTGAAGTTTCTACCCTCATATGTATGAGTCTTTCTCAACATCTTCTGGTTCAAGAGCAACGTTTTTATCTTGAGTTCATTAATCTGCCCCAAAAAAGCATTGTTTTTTCATCTTGATTTAAGCTCTTTGGAAAAATGGTTTTGTCAGTTGTGCTATCTTCCCATGTTTTCAAATGTTATTTTTCTAAAGCAGCCTTCTGAATTGCGTTGAAGTTTCCTTTCATTGTGCATAAAAGCAGGGCCTTTTTTCTAGGTAGGAAATAACTTTTTGCTTTAAGTAGAAGTATATTTAATCTCAGAGCCCTGGCACGCAAAGCTGTCGAGGCATTTATTTTTATTTTAACTTGCTCTTGTCACCTAACAAAGGCATAGGAGTAACCTCACACTTTGCCAGCGGGCCTGGCTATGGGGGTGGAGGGGGGGACAGGCAAAATAAGATGAAAACCTAGATGGCTGATTATAAAATGGTATTGCTGCCGCTCAGCTTGCTACCCAGGCCCGGGTTTACCTTTTATGCCGCTCCAGCTTAGACATCAGAGGCGTGAGAGCTGCTTTGAGTTACAGATCTTCAAACAATAAGTCAAAACAAAAAATCAATCCCCTCCGGTCCCTGGGTGCAGTTATCGAAAGATAAAAGAGAAAAATAAAGTTATGCTAAAGCAGATAGAGGAATGGAGCAGAGATGCCAAGGAAACTCGGAGGACAAGTGCAGAGTTGAAGTGGGCCTCATGTGAGCCAACATCAATGGATTTTTATCTTATCAAAAAGTTTTAGGGTTGCCAGTTCTTTTCAGACTGGATCCAGTCCGCTCCAGGGCTGCCTGGAGCATGGGCTTCAGTAAAGTGGCTCTCCGCGCCACCCCCTGCCCAAATATAACCACATAGGAATTAGATTGCATTTCACTCAAGGTATAAAACTTGCCACAGACTTCAACAGCAAATTAGAGGTTTCAATAATCCCTCGATATTTTGAATATAAATTGAGGAGAGGGTTTTTTTTTTTTTTTTTTTTTATGTTCATTGAAATCTATAGATTTACGTGAAAAGTAAGGCAAATCTCAATAGTGTGTGTTCTTTCTTTAAGACAAATTTCTAAGGAGAGCAGGAAAGCCCCCAGGAAGTCTTTTTGAGGTAAGAAATCTGTGTTTTTCCTCTGTTTCTTGTGAATAATGTCATATTTTTGGAGATTAATTTAACTAACTGTCTGGAACATTTTTGCTAGCATTTTGATATATGAGGCCAGAGTGCATTTTTATGAATCTAAGTTACAGAAAAAAATGGGGGGGGGGGTTATGCTTTTAGATATTTGTCGCTATAAACATTTTTGAGGTTATTCAAGATCTACTTTCCTCATTAGCTTCCCTAAAAGTCTTTCATAAAATGGCAGCTCAGCTTTCATTCTTATCCTTCCCTTGGTTTCCCCTTATTTTCCTCACTGATCGTGTACCTGAGCTTCTGTCAAGGGAGGCCGGCTTGACATCCATCTCCCTAACCACGGTGGAGCCCAGTCTGCCCCTTGCTAGGTAATCAGTTTCCAGATTTGAAGGGAGAAAGGGCAGTTAGCTTGGCATTGTAGAACCGGATACCCTGCTATTTAAGGAAACTTGTTTTATGTATAAATTATAGTTAATCATTTGAGTAAAACCATCATAGCTTTCATTTGCATAGTTGAGATGACTCACTGTTTTGAAAATTAAATAAACTCAAATGGAAAACAACCACACACTGCGGGTTGCAACTTTTATTTCCTAGCAGAGAGTTAATGAGCAGAAAGATGGCAGAGCCATTTCCACACATCTAAGGCTAAATTTTTTTTTTTGAACTATTAATGAATGTACTTTATTATAAACATTGAAGTTTAGAGTATGTGCTGTAGGCCTTGAGAGAAGTGGGATGAAGATTCTTTCTAGTTTCTTGTAATTAAGCAATGATAGAAAATCACAATCTGTATTTTTAGGCCTTTGTCCTCCAACTCTCCTTCAGGCTGGGTTCAGCTAGCATTTCCACTCCAGTCTCTTTACCATTTCCTATCTTTAATCCCTTCTTGTCATCCTTCCAGGCTACTTAGAGGATGTAGTTAGAAGTGGCTTCATGTTTACATCCGAGGAAGGAAAGAAGGCAGGGGAGGAAAATGGGGCAGGGTGGTGAATCCCACACAGAGGTACCATGCCCCAGCAAGCTCCGGTCTGGCCTGCATGGAAGAACCTTTGAATTCCTGGCATCCCAGCCCTACCTTCTGAACTTTTTCACTCTCATACAGCCAGCAGCAGCTGCGAGGACTTGGTTGGGAAGTGGGGTGGCCAGGGTGGTGGTGGGGGGGCAGCCGCCATAATCTCCAGCAGTAATATCCTTAACCACCCCAAATAAACACCTATGCTAAGTAAAACATTCTTCAGGATAGAACCTCTAATCTCTTCTTCCAACCAGATTGCTCTTCCTAAACCCCTTTTACACAGAAATGTATATGCTAGGTAAACTGTCAGGCATATTCACACGTGTCTGGATACCTGTCTATATATGATGCAGTGTATCCAGCTCATGAATCTGATTGCCTGTACTTGAATCCTAGCTCCACCACTTAATGGCTGTGGGGCCTTAAGCACATTACTTAAGTATTCTAATCCTCCTTTCCTTATCTGTATAAAGAGAGTAATAGTAGTAGCTACCGAAGGGCTCTGTGTAAAGGCAATGCCAGTGCAAAGCATATTCGACATTTAGGTGCTAATAAATGTTAGCTGTTATTGTTGCTAGAAAAAAGTCTGTTCTGCACTAAATTAAAACATTATTTGCATTTTCTTACTAACTTTTGAGATGTACTGTCTTACCTATTTATGCACTTTTGATATTTGCATTTCTTCATGTCCCGTTCCCAGAGTAGAGCCCAGGCTCTGGAGGGAAATGTTGAGTCTGGCCTGTTTTATCTAAGCCTGAGTTTCTATTGAAGATGCAGAAATAGGAGGTTTTGGTGTGGTGGTCTTAAGGGCTGCATAATCGTGGGAGGAAATCTATGGTTAATAATTCCTTAAACTCTAGGTTTCAGTAATTTGGAATTTAGGGAAAAAATAATTCATATTTTTCTAGCCTTTTTAATATACTAAAGGAAAAAGCTTATCTCTTTCAAAGGAAGAAAATTTTTAAATTTCATGAGTGGCATATCATATTTAGTTGGATATATTCTGTAGGACAATATTAAGTTCTTATTATAGAGTATGTGTATATGTAATTCACTCGCATTTGGAATGATAAAAAGGAAAGCCATATTTCAAATATTTGAATCAAAATATGGGTTAAGGATCTAAAATTTATACTATTCAGGGATATGGTGGATGACACAGCAGGATTCAGGTTACTAGGTTGTTAGAGTCTTTCAGGATCAAAGCAGACTCTGGGCAGTGTAGTAAGTGACTAGTACCTGTCCTCCCTACATTTAGACTTCCTCCCTTGCCCACCAGCACACCCACCTCATGCCATCAGACAGGCCATCCTGCTTTACATTTCTCTCCTCGGTGCTGGAGGGCAGTTTTATCACATGCAAACTCTAAGTTGAAAATCTGAGTAGTATCGGGAAGATAACTTTATGTTGTATAAAATACTACTTGGCCCTTCTGTTTTAATAGGAAATCTCTAACTTTGAGATGCTTTGTGTTGTTTTTGTAAAAATATGCTAAAAAAACTTATTTAATTTGCCCCTTTTTGTACTGTTTGAAGAATACTTATTTAGGGGAGGGACACCAAAATATATTTTAATTAGTATTAATTAAAGTTAATTTAAAAGTATTTAAGATGAAAACACTGAAATTTTGACAAGCCAAAAGAAAGTTAGTCTGAGTTAAATAGCTTTTTCCTTAGCAGAAATGATCAGATAACTTTTTCAGATTTTTTCCAGTTTTATTGAGGTAGAATTGACAAATAAAAATTATATATATTGAAGGTGTACAATGTGATATTTTGATCAACCTTTTAGAACTTTAAAGAAACACACAGCTCTTATTGGGGGCTATTTAATTTTCAGTTATTACATATCTCTGGATAGATAACTTCATAAAAATTATTGGATGGTATCTCTCATTTTACTCTTGGCTATTTGGAATTAGAATGTTATTTCAAAATCTGGCAGACATAGCAAATAATCACAAACATTTATGCTTTTGAAAGAAAAAATACAAATCTTATTGGAGAGCACATGACCATAAATGATTTTCAGGCATGATTAAATATACTTCATAAAACATGTAAATCATAACTCTAACTCTGCAGGTATGAGTCCTAAAAGGCACACTTCTGGCATTCCATCCTTTATGCATTGCTGAGGTCTTGAGATTTGTGTGGGGTATCCAAACCTGTAATGTTACTAGGTAGCATAAGCATCTAAAGGTTAAAAACGAAAACAGGGTGTACCTGGCTGGCTCAGTAGCTAGAGCATGTGACACCTGATCTTGGGGTTGTGAGTTTGAGCGCCACGGTGGGTGTAGAGTTGGGTGTAGAGCTTACATAAAAATAAAATCTTTAAAAATAAATCAATAAAGGGGCGCCTGGGTGGCTCAGTTGGTTAAGCGACTGCCTTCGGCTCAGGTCATGATC